CTGCTGACACAGACAGGAAGTAGCTCACAGACCAATCAGGAAACAGTCCAGTACATCAAGGAGAAGCTCAGTGAGAATCTGTCTGCAGAGAAAAGCATCAATCTGTTCCACTGTCTGCATGAACTGACTGATAATTCTCTAGTGGAGCAGGTCCAACAGTTTCTGAGATCAGGAAGTCTCTCCACAGATAAACTGTCTCCTGCTGAGTGGTCAGCACTGGCCTTCATTTTACTGTCATCAGAAGATGTGGATGTGTTTGACCTGAAGAAATACTCTGCTTCAGAGGAGGCTCTTCTGGGGCTGCTGCCAGTGGTCAAAGTCTCCAACAAAGCCATGTAAGTAAATTTGTAATCAGGCTTTTGTTTTTTTTAAATATTTATTCTAGTAACAATTGCAATTTGTTAATTGCACAATTGTGTAATTAACAAATAAACTGTGATGTGTGCTGGTCCATTAACAAAAACTAAAAAAAACAACTAACTTTAAAAACTTTAAAAGTTCAACTGAATAATGATACAATCAAGTATATGATTATTTTAAAATTCCAAAGCTACAGACGGTATCAGTGTTGCCAACTCCTCAGTAAGGAAAATTGCTATTGGCTGTCCTAGAAGTTGCTAAATAACGTCATCTCCTAATTTGCGTAATTGGTCATGCTTATGTAATTGTAACCTGCTTTAGGAGTAAGACATAACATTGCGGAAGAGTAAAAAACGCCCGAAATGCATTTGTAATACATTTAGAACTACAAATTAAATTATTTTAGCAATTGTTTTGTTTAATGTCACATTTCCACACCATCTCCCTTACCCGGTCTGGGTGCTGGCAAAAGCTGCCTCTACTAAACATATCATGCATTATGTATACAGTGTGCTGCTCAGTAACATTTATTATTTACGATTACTTTTGCATAAGTTGTTGTTGTTGTTGTTTTTTTTTTCTTCAACAGGTGGTCAAGCAGATTTTCAGTCTATTCCTCTTCACCTCCATTTTTCTCTACCTCTCCTTCTCGAGTATAGCAAAATATTCAATTGGGAAAGTCTGGGCATGTTTGTTTTTGTTTTTTTGGGGGGGTGGGGGGGTGTATGTTTGCCTTCAGACAACAATTGTGATTGCTGCAGTCCCGGGCAGACAATAAATACATACATTCTTCCTTCCTTCCAGCTTAAATTTAGAGATTTTTAGTTCACAATGACTTGTAGGCCCCTGCAACATGTGTTTTTCTTGTCTTTGTTTAACAAATGTCACAGATTTCATGCTGCTTTATTTTGTAGGCTAAGTGTCTGTGAGTTGTCAAAGACAGGCTGTGAAGCTCTGAATTCAGTACTCAGCTTAAAGTCCTCTAGTCTGAGAGAGCTGGACCTAAGTATCAACAGCTTGGATGATTCAGGTGTGAAGCTTCTGTCCGCAGCCTTGAGGAGTACAAGTTGTAAACTGAATACTCTGAGGTCAGTATATTCAGTTTTAGTTGTTTTTTTGTATATTTCCCTTGTTCAGCTGACAAATTAATCAGTTAAAAACGTAGGTCATAATGAGAAATACTAATACACTTATTTCTAAGTGAAACTGTCACATTTCTAACCCTTTTTAATCCCAGGCAATAAGGATTCTTTAAAATACAGTGCTAAATGTAGCAGCTTCTTACTACACACTAGGGCAGGGCGATATGGCCAAAAATATATATCACGATATATATTTGAAAATTTGCAATAACGATATAACTGACAATATAATTTCTGTGAAACAAAACTTTACTAGCGCAGAAAACCCCCATCCATTTATTTTCACTTAAACAAGCAGCTGTTTTTATTTCATTAAAGCTATATAAAAATTTAACAGTGCAAATGCAAATTACAAATAAAAAAGACAAATATGTATTTTTCGGACCATAGGTTGCACGGGATTATAAGGCAGATTAAGCGAAACAAAGCAGTCAGATAAATCAAACTTTATTCAACTCATTCTTCTTGCTTCCTCCACTTCTGTACCATTGATTCATTAATGCTGTATTCTATCACAGCTGCTCTATTCCCATGTTGTTGCAGTATATGAATGACTGACCTCGTATTGTGGATGGATTATCTCAGTTGTTCTCCTGACTGAAGTTTGGTCCGTTTACAGCATCCTGCCATGTGATTGCACTTGTCCCGAACCATCAGGAACCTTCACGTTAACTTTTATTGAGTGGAAAAGTGTTAGCGTTCATCCTCCAGCTTCATTGTTTATGTTATGCTAACATAGCTGTGTCGCTAGCGGTCACGTAGCACATCATTATATACCACCTAGCCCAACTTCAGTAACCCTACAAACGTCACTGCTGTTTAGTTTTCTGTCTTCATTCATGTTAGAAGTGATAGCAGAGCTGTACGTTTTAATTTTTTCAGAAATCTCTCAGTCAGAACATGCTATATCATGTTTAGGAAACTAGCGAACTAACTTCCGCTAGCTTCCTGCTAACTTCTAACTCCGTTAAATGTAATAAATTCTGTTTTCATGGATGCCTGGATGTTAAACATCATAGTTACACCTGGTAAAGCAGCAATGCTGATCATTTTATTAAAGATGAAAGAATTTAGACAGTTTTTAACTCTCAGTGATATTCGTTTGACTTCGGGACCTTAAAGGACGGAGTTTAGGACCCAGATTCACGAGCACCTTAGTCCGACAAATACGGCAGTAACGACGGCCCGCTTGCATGTTCTACAAAAAAAAAATTGCTCTGTGTATCTGACGGACAAACACCAAACCAGTTAAGCTGCACCATTTTTTACAAACCAATTCTGGTTCATCCGCTTCACTCAACAATCTGCTTTCCCCATTCTCATACTCCATTACCGTCGTTCTTTTTCAGTACTGCGCATGCGCGTTTTACCCATATTCTATTGCTATATTTCATTGTCTTATCGTTGCCTAGCATTGTACCGGTATTACCGTGAACGGTATAATATGGCCCAGCCCTACTACACACTGATTAGTAAAATTAGTGTTTTATTGTTCATGTTATAATTTTCAGACTGAGTCTCAGTAACCTGTCAGAGAGCAGCTCTGAAACTCTTTCTGCTGGACTACAGAATCTAAACTGCAAGCTGATTACTCTGAGGTCAGATCAAGGTTTTTGTTTGTTTTTTTTTGTTTTTTTTCTCAGAATTTGAAGTTTATCCATTCATTGTTGCATCTTGTAAGGTTTCTGGAGGTATTCCTTAAAAAAACAACAGGATTAAATACTGACAACAACTCTATACTGACAACACTTTTATACCAGTGTTTGTTTTCTTGTTTTCTTTATTTTTTTTCTTTATTTTTTTTTTTTAAAGCCTGATGGGCTGTAAGTTCTCAAAGGGAAGCTGTGAAGCTCTGTCCTCAGTTCTCAGCTCCCAGTCCTCTAGTCTCAGAGAGCTGGACCTTAGTAATTCTGAACTGCAGGATTCAGGAATGAAGATTCTGTCTGAAGGAATAAAGACTTCACAGTGTACACTGGAAACACTCAGGTAAGATCAACAATGTTATATTTATTTTCGTCAGTGGCCAAAAATAACGAATAATTGACGGTAATTTGATAAAGGTCATAAACGTGTTTTGTATCATTTTGTAACTTCTCACTGCACTACGATTACACTTTAACAAAGGTGTTGTTTGTGTTCTCAATGATTTTGCAGACTGAGTAGCTGTTTCCTGTCAGAGGGAAGTTGTGAAGCTCTGTCCTCAGCTCTCAGCTCTCAGTCCTCGAGTCTGAAAGAGCTAAACCTGAGTAACAATAACCTCCAGGATTTGGGTGTGAAGCTTCTGTCTGCTGCACTGCAGAGTCCACAATGTAACCTTGAAAAACTCAGGTCAGGATTCAAATCTTTCCACAGATGAACATTTAAGTCTGATTTATATTGTTACGCAAAAAGCTAAGTTACCATTTTAGGTAAGGTTTTTTTTTTTTCTTTTTAAATAAATGTAGTAATGTTTGTATTACATCATAGCAGACAAAGTGGGATGGAAAAGAAGAAAGATGAGTTGGGGAGAAAGTTGACAGAAGGAGAGGAAGAGGAAAAATAGAGCGAGCAAGAGGAAAAAACATCTGCTTCAATACCCACTGTATAAAACAAAAAACAGCATAGCAGAGAAACCATAAAAACAACCAATATATCCACAAATTAGGACTGGGAGATATAAAGAAAATCTGTGTGTGTGTGTGGAGACTGGATAGCGTAGTGGTTAGACTACACGCCTCCCCCCAGGATCGCAAGTTAGATTCCCGCCTGGGGCACCAGTGTTCCACTTACTGCTGAATATGCAGCACCATATCCTCCTTGTTGTCCTCCATATGGAGTTGTTAACTGCCCTTCCTCCACGGAAGACACAACAATGTTCTCAGTCAGCAGCGCTCCACCTACACTATACACAGTGCAGGTAGGACACCGCTTTTTTCTCCTGAGTCGCCTGATGGCTTGCCAGAAATAGGTGTAGGCGTGCCAGGCCTGTCCAGCATCCTTCCCCGCTAGTGGTGGGACTTCCAGCTCTTTTTAGAGAACCGGCTCTTACGGCTCCGCTCACTAAAAAGAGCCGGCTCTTTCGGCTCCAAACTGGCTCTTCAGGTTGCTTTAATTTATTTATTATTAACAATAATATAAAATTATGCACACAATGAACCTCTAATGTAAAAAATGTCATTTTTATTTATAAATGTTTATCATATAAATATTCTTGTATTTATTCACAGCACACAAAATGTAAAATAAATATATTACAAAGTACAAAAACCAACTATTTACAATTCATCTTTTTACCTTTTAAATTTTCAGCTTTTTTCCTTTCAAACCAATTCAAAACAAAAGAACACACAACACCACAAATCGCAACACAATAAAATATCGATTAAAATATGCAAAACAAAAAGAGAAAATGAACAACCAGATCTCCAATTAACCCTTTAAAACCGGTCAGAGCGGGCACGCTCTGTTTTGCGTAACTATTTTTAAATCCCGGTAGCTCTGCAACCACGTAAGCTAGCGCAGTAATTTTTTTTGCATATGAAACCGGAGCAGTTGTACTCGCATCTTATGCCATCAGCTTGTCCTCGGTCACAGTTTCCTTCCACATATATCTTTGCAAAATCTGCATAAAAAGCACTTGCAGCAACAAAAACATAATATTCCAGAAACACGCTTTACCGATCCGATCGGCTGTTTATAACACTTCCTAGGTCCATCAGCGCGAACTATAGCATGTCCGCCATGACCTGCCCGAAACCGGAAGTGACGTCCTTTTGCGGAAATGTAGTTTTTTACTATCAGAGCCTTATGAGCCTATACTGGTGTTTTTTAAAAGTTATGTTTGACACACACAAACGCATAGCTGTGTTTGCTCCCCTCCCGCCTCTGCTCAGCGCAAACACGAGGCTCACGTGAAGCGAAAAAAAGTTAGCGAGAGGGCAAGAGAAAGAAAACAACCCCCCACGGCTCCAAATAAGGAGCCGGCTCCTGTCGTTCACTTCAAAGATCCGGCTCTAAGAGCCATTTCGTTCACGAACGACCCATCACTATTCCCTGCCATCTGATCCAACTGACTACCAGGTGGCGATCAGTTGACAGCTCAGCTCCTCTTTCTTCTCAACTCCTGTTTTTAATCCTGATGCTTAGATTTCATGGATGGAAATGGATAATGTTGTTGTATCAGGCATCCAATCGTTGACCGATGGATTGTTGTTTTGTGTGTCTGCAGTCTGTCAGGCTGTCTAATAAAAGAGGAAGGCTGTACCTTTCTGGTCTCAGCTCTGATCGCCAACCCCTCCCATCTAAGAGAGCTGGACCTGAGCTACAATCATTCGGGAGTGTCTGGAATGAAGCTGCTGTCGTATAGACAACAGGAATTACCTTCTCTGGACACTCTCAGGTATGACGAGAATGTCTGATAGAGGAGGGAGAGATGGAAACGGTTCTTGTGTCCTTCACTCACTTCCTGAGTTTTTCTTGATGCATGCTCATCATCCAGGTAAGGAAATCCCAAAAATTTGATTCTGCTCATCTGGATGAGCGTTTTCAGTGGGAGAAACGTTTCGTCACTCATCCAAGTGACTTCTTCAGTCTCAGCTGACTTCAGGTTTCGTCTCCCCAACCTTATAAATAGTAAATTTATGCGTGAAACTAGCACCACTGGTGAACAATGGGCTATAAAGTCAATTTCTTGATCATTAATATGCACATTTTAATTGTTGTCAGAGCTAACCCAGGACCATTGTGAAAATTGGTTCATCATGAAACTGACCTAAAAGCCCATTTTTTTTTTAAATTTTTTTTTTTTTCTTCATTCAAGTGGTTAGTTTAAGTCATTGTGAAAGTGGCCTCGGGGTACGTCAGGGGTCTCAAACTCACGGCCCGCGGGCCAACTGTCGCCCGCAGGACGATAGTTTTTGGCCCCCACCTTAATATGAAAATTTAATGTTAGTGCGGCCCGCGAGTTTGATAATGTGTGACACTTTACAGTGTTGTCTGCGGATCTCATATTAACTCTCAAAGTGAGTGGCTGCGGGATAAAAGAAAACTAATGAACTCAATGCAGCCCAATTTAGTCTGCAGTCACATAGCGACACCTGTTCATCGGCAATAACAGTCCCCGGTAACCCGGACTAATTATAGGGTCGCACTGTAATTTGTGGGTCGATGTTTATTATTTGCATCACTCCGTTTGCATTGCAGCATACATGAACGTTACATATACAGTGGGGCAAAAAAGTATTTAGTCA